TTAGATGTAACATCATTACCTTGTTATACCAGTGCTGAAAGAATGACACTATCATTTGTTGTACCATTTTAGAAGTATGAACTTGTCCTGAAGATGAGTTATCAGTAGTGATGAAACTATTTATCCCAATTTGAAAAGCAACGACCCTTACGATTTTTAGGGCGCGTGGGATATTCTTTGATAATGTGTCCTTGTTGTTTACAATAATTACAGAACTTCTTGCTACAATTGCTAGCGATATGACCATATTTCTTGGCAACTGTAGCATTGATGTGTTCTAGTCATATCCATGTCCTTTCCTTTACCTTGAGCAACAAATACAACAATGACAACATTTTCAATATAACAAGAGATAAATTTTCTTTGGAGTTCATCACCTTACAATAAGTTCTTGATAATAAAAATAATACTCATCAATATGTAAGTTCAAACAATGAATGTGGAATGTCTAAAATGCTATCGAACTTGAAATTGAGGCCTTCTACATTTTCCCATTTTTCCACACAAAAGAAGTTCAACAACTTATTGTCTTTGGTATTACTAATATCTTTGATTGGTATATGCCATTCGTTCTTTTGTATAAACAATTAGTTTTAATATATAATTTTTTGACAATATTTAGGGTCTTCAAGTCATTTTAATAGTAGCACAACTTAATAGTATTTTTTGCCAAACACATTTTGCCAAACACATCAACTTTTTATTATCGGTTTCAACACCTTTATCCAAACTTGTAATAATTTATTTATAAAATTAATTTTCGCACTAAATTTACATGTTGTTAATTTATAGTTAGCTAATCCAAACAGGCTCTTTGTATGATTTTGAAGCTGAATGATCATACATTATTTCATCTGCACTTCATCCTCATCCTGCCTGGTCGATCTTTCACTAGCCAGGATTAAGAGAAAACATATAAATAGACAATTAAATAAATACATTCTTTTAATTACAATAAAATAGTGTAACACTCCAAATGCAAAGGTCATGTGGAAAAACTATTGAATATCTTGGCTACTATACAAATTTTTATAGTTGACAAATTTTACGTGTACCATTTTTCTTATTAAAAAATAAAATCATTTTCTTTAAAACTTGTAACTTAAGTCGGAAATTTATAATTAAAAGCATGTAAGGTAGATAAGAATTTTGGATAGAAATTATTTGACTCCTAATAAAGAATTGTATTATATAGGATGAAATAAAGATAGTATATACTTTATTTTACTATAAACGATTCATATTTGTGCATGAATGTTTTGACTTGTTTGATCCTTCAAAACATCTTTTTTTAATTGGTATATTAATTAATAAAAATAAATATGTAAACTAGATACCATTCTAAGAAAATTTTATTCAGAACTAAATTTAAGGATAAATATTTATTATTATTCTATTTCTATCTGAGAGGAAGATTAAGAAAAACTGTTGATTTTACAAGGAATGAAAATACTATTTTAATTACCTAATAAGTATAAAAGAAATATTGTATCATATAAACTGAAATAAATATAGTACATACTTTATTTTAATAAAACTAATTCCTATTCGTGAATGAAATCTTTGACTTGTTTTTCATCCTTCAAAGCATAATTTTTCCTCTTACAAAAAAGGTATATTAATGAAGAGAAATAAATATATAGACTAGATACGATTTGGACAAAATATGATGTTGACCTACATTTTAGGATGAATATTTATTATTCTTTCTTTCTATCTTCAATGCTAATTAGGAAAAAATATTAATTCTACAATAAATTAGAAGGTAAAAGAAATACTATTTTGATTATCTAATAAGTTTAACCATAAAAGGTAAATTTGTTGAAATTTTAATAACAAAATCCAAATGTGACATGAATTTTATGACTTGATTTTTGTTTAAGGTACTTGTGAACTATAAATACAGTGTTATTCTTTCAAACACTTTCAACTACTTTAAGATTCATTCTCTTATTTTTCCTTGTATTAGCCCAAGCCTTTTTTCTTTTTGGATGAATTTTTTGTTAAGAGGAAAAAGGAAACTGTACTTGCAATCAACAACATGCCGATCAAATGGTAACAATTTTGAATTCATTAAAACATAACATTTTTGAAAGATTTTGGTGTGTATGCTTAAGTGTACAGTTTGTTACTTTGTTTGTTGTTAGGATTTTGCATTGGCAAGCAAATGCAGGAACAACAATCAATAGTCAAATACTGATAGAAGTGGCTAATTGTGCTGAGAGCATTAATGGTGTTAAAGAAGGAAGATGGAAAAATACTTTTACCTTTTATAAGCCCATACTCAAAGGTATTTCATTCCTTAATAAATCATGTTTGTAAGCATTATATAAAGGAATGACCTTTCTTTTCCTCTCGATGCATTATAAAGAATGAATATGGGAAGTTTTTCTCCTTTGTAAGTAATCTATAAAAAAGCGAAGAAGTATTGAAATAATTTGGGTCAAGAATAGATCAAAATGTAAGATAATCTATATATCTCGCATTTCTAACTTACACATCATGTCATTTTTAAGAGTATTTTTGTGGCCATATACGAGATTTGATTGTTGATTAATTAATTTTTTCTTTTACTAGAACAAGCAAATGCATCGGAATTTCCCCAAAATTTTTTGGGGGTTTCACTTCAAGAACAACCCGACAAGTTTTACATGGCAATTAGTAGGCAACGACTGGTTGTGGAAGCAGAGTCATCAATGCAGACGATAATGGAGAACTTACAATCTTATAGAATGAAGCTTGCTGTTAATTGTGAGGTTTGTATTATTGAGATATGCAAATTATTGTTCTTATTGTAAGTGGATGATATACTTATATAGCACCATCAAGATTTTTGTCTTCACAAATATTCATTAAAATATTTGACTGATATAGGGGCTTCAGTATCGACTTGGTGACTTCCGACTTCGAGTAGGCAAAGTTGTTCCAATAAATTCTGAGAACTTGAGGGGAATAGTTATGGAGGTATGCAAATACTTTTAGAGATTTATTTCTCAGTTAAAGCTTTATATGTGGTTAAGCCTTTTTAAAAAAACCATAGCTATGTTGTAATATATTATGTTTTTTTTACTCTTCATGGAGAGGAATTCAATTATTGTACTTTACCTAATTAAAAAAAATACAATTATGAGCATGCTTGCCTCATAAGATGTTTGTTTCTTTTGTAGATGGAGTATCTTCCGATTTCCTCATGGGAAACATCACATTTAATTATGAGTGAATTCTTCGAGATATGGAAGGAAACTCTTGGAAAAAGATTATTACCGGGTCATTTTGTGCATGTTGAACCAATTTTTTCAGAGTTTGGCCTCTCTGATCAATACACTTCACAACACACAGTTGTACAATATGCTAGCATCTTGGCTCAAATGGCAGCAACATCTCAATCATTACAAGCAACTAGAAATTAGAATGGTTTGCTGACATTATAAGATTTTTCTTTACCTTCAGAAATGAGTTCTTTATATTCATTAATTAATTGGGAATATGCACATCAATAGTAAGCAATCTTAAAGCTACTATGATTTCAATTTAGAAATTATACAACTACTTTTTTTTCTTTTTAGTGGGTAATATGAATGTTACATAATTTCTTTTGTGTGAAAAATTGTACTTAAGATTATATAGACTTTTAAGCCCATATTGCAAGACAAGTAAGGATTTTGAAGCTTCGGAGAGTAGAAATAATAATATTTTATACAAAATTGCTGATTTTGGATCTTCCATAGGGTTCGTTGCCGCAAAGATGCTCACCGAGATGTGGGACAGATTAAAGAATATAAATGTCAGATTTGTGGTCTTGATATGCCTGATGAAAAGTTTATAGACCCTGATGTTTCTAAGATGGCTATGTTAGGATTTAAGGGATTGTGAAACATAAACAATCTAAACATTCATAAATCCTATCAATTATTCATGATCGTAGAACTATATGATTTTCACATTAATCTATTACTATAATAAATCAGTCAAGAATACATACCATAATCAGCCATAGTGTTTTTCAAGAATCTTGACTTGAATTGAGCAGAAGTTTTTTTCTTCGTTGTTCTTGAGAAATTGTTTCTCTCTCTTGACTTACACTTTATGAATAACTTTGATGGATAAGACTATTACTTTATGGCAGAGAGAGGACCCTTTAAATAAGAGAGTTTTTAACATTATTCCTACTTTCCATCATGGTGAGTAGTGGAGGTAATGGGTAGTTTTAAAACTACCAAGTAACTCCCCACTTAATGGGTAGTTGGAAGACTTAATGGGAAGCTGGAAGTTACTAAGTAACTTCTCCACTTCTCCACACATATAAGTAATTTCCCCACTTTCCCACTTCTGCACACATATTTAGGATTGAACTTATATTTATTATTAAACCAAAATATAATTAGTGGGCCATAGAAATTTACATTCTCCCACTTGGCGCACGACCTTTAACTTAATGGTTTAATATGCATGTTAATCGTCATGTGCACAATGTTAAATCCAACATCATCCGTCGTTATTAAGTAAATCAACTAATATGAGTCATTGCGGTTGTAGGCCATTTTATTTGGCATAGTCCCTTCGATGCACTTCAATATTAGTCTATTGCCTAACACAACCTATCAAATAAATAATGGGTCCACAATAATGCTTAGAATATCTTTATCTAAAACAAAACCTGTCATCGTCATTCTCAACATAACACATACAAGATAAAACATGTAATAATAGAACCATATATATAGTTGAGATCAAAGTGGCAATTGCATAAACATAATAAAATCTTTATAGAAAGTCATTCATTGCTATCAATAAGACCCATTCTTACAACATGTTCAACAAATGTTTTGGGCAGTAATCCTTTCATCAAAGGATCAACAATCATAAGCTTGGTGCTAATATGTTCAATTGTCACTTTATGTTTATGGACTTCTTCCTTAACTGAAAAGTATTCCAATTCCATATGATTGGCACCCTTTGAATACTTATCATTTTTAGAGAAGAAGACGGCTGAAGTATTATCACAATAAATTTTTGAGCGGCTTAGAAATACTATTGACTAGTCCAAGTCCTAAAATAAAGTTCCGCAGCCAATTAGCCTGAACTGTGGCTTCAAAGCATGCCACAAACTCAGCTTCCATAGTGGATTCAGCTATAACAGACTGCTTCACACTCTTCCATGATATTGATCCTCCAGCTAACAGGAACAAATATCCAAATGTGGATTTTCTTGTATCCACACAACCAGCATAATCTGAATCTGAATATCCATTCACATCAAGATGATCAGATCTTCTATAAGTGAGCATATGATCTTTAGTTCCTTGCAAGTATCGCGACAGTTTCTTCGCAGCTTTCCAGTGATCCATTCCTGGATTAGTTTGATAACGGCCCAACATTCCTACAACAAAACTGATGTCTGGTCTCGTACAAGTTTGGGCATACATTACACTCCCAACTATTGATGCATAAGGAATATCATTCATTTGCTTACGTTCCAATTCATTCTTTGGACATTGATTGAGACTAAATTTATCTCCTTTCTGAATTGGAACGGGACTTGATGAGCATTTTTCCATTCTAAATCTCCCTAACACTTCATTAATATAGGCTTTCTGATAAAAACCTAATAATCCTTGTGATCTATTTCTATCCCAATCACAAAGGATACCTCTCCCATATCTTTCATTTCAAAATTGTTAGAGAGATATCTCTTGGTATCATGCAACAAACCAAGATCATTAGTAGCAAGCAAGATGTCATCAATGTACAGGACTAACATAATAAACTTACTCCCACTAACCTTCAGATTTATACACTGGCTAACAGTGTTTTCTTTAAATCCAAAGGTTAAAATAGTTTCATTAAACTTAAGATACCATTGTCGCGAAGCTTGTTTAAGTCCGTATATTGACTTCTTAAGTTTACACACTATGTATTCCTTTCCTTTACTAGAAAACCCCTCATGTTGATTCATATAAACTTCTTCCTCCAAATTTCCATTTAGAAAGGTTGTTTTCACATCCATTTGATGTAGCTCTAAGTCATAATGAGTTACTAAAGCCCATTATAATTCTGAGTGAATCCTTTGGAGTGAAACCTTTTGCAACAAGTCTGGCGTTGTGACGTTCGATGTTGCCAGTTGACTCACGTTTGGTCTTAAAGATCCATTTACACCCAACTCTTTTGCAACCTTCTGGTAATTCAACAAGGTCCCACACTTCATTTTGTTCCATATTTCAACTCCATAGCATTTATCCATATATCAGAATTATTACTTTAAATAGCTTGTGAAAATGAAACTGGATCATTATCAATTCCTAAGTCAATTTCTGACTCGTGTAAATATACCAATTAGCATCAGAAATAGCAGTTCTCTTTTGTCTTTGATATTTTCTTAATGCTACTTCTTGTGGTACATCTACCGCAGGTTCATTAATTACGCTTCATTAAGATTAACAGGAGCATCGATTTGTTGTTCTTGGTGATTGTTAGATTGTACAACAACTTTTGGAACAACATCTTTAAAATAAGTAAAAGGTAGAGGAACTCTTACCCTAACTTCTTTAATTTCCACTTTACGTGGTTCTTCACTCCCACTAACTTCACTATTCTCAATGAATCTAGCATTTCTAGTTTCAACTATTCTTGTACTATGATTAGGACAGTAAAATCTATACTCTTTTGATTTTTCTGGATAACCCATGAAGAAACCACTAATTGTTCTTGAATCCAGTTTCTTTTCTAGTGGGTTATAAACTCTAACTTCTGTCTGGCAACCCTAAACATACATGTGCTTTAACTAGGTTTTCTACCAGTCCACAGTTCAAAAGGAGTTGTTGGAATTTATTTTCTAGGAATCCTATTAAGTAAGTAAACGACAGTCCTTAAAGCATACATCCACAATGAAAGAGGTAAAGATGAAATACTTAACATACTCCTAACCATGTCCATTAATGTACGATTATGCCTTTCTGCTACACCATTTTGTTGTGGTGTTCCAAGCATTGTATATTGAGCACATATGCCATGCTTTTCGAGGAATTTAGCAAATGGACCTGGGTGTTGTCCATTTTCATCATATCTTCCATAATATTCACCACCTTTATCTGACCTGATTATTTTCACCTTTCTATCTAGTTTTGTTTCAACCTCAGTAATAAAGACCTCTAAGACATTTATCGATTGAGATTTTTCATGCAACAAATAGTCATACCCATAACGTGAAAAATCGTCAACAAAAGTGATAAAAAAATTTTTTTTTACTGAAAGATGCAATATCAAAAGGACCACATATATCAGTGTGTATAATTTCAAGAAGCTGTGTGCTTCTTGTGGCTCTTTTCTTTGTGTGTCTTGTTTGTTTTCCTTTAATACAATCCACACAAATGTTAAGGTCTGTAAAATCCAAATTTGAAAGAATTTCAATCTTAACTAATCTTTCCAATCTTTCTTTGGATATGTGACCTAAACGTTTGAGCCATAAGAAAGTAGATTGTTCATTCACCAAACTTCGTTTGATTCTAATATTATGATGCAGAGTTAAGAGTGTTTCGACAAATAGATTACCAAGATTTAGTTTGTATAAGTTTTCACAAAGAGTACCAGTACCACTGAGATAATTATGTTTAAACAAACTAAAAATCCATTACCGAAATTAAAAGAGTATCCAGTCTTATCTAACTTAGACAAAGAAACTAAATTTCACGAAAGAGTTGGTACATAACAAGTTTCAAGTAAATCTAAGTGACCCCAATATTAAGGATCAAATGGTAAGTCCTATAGCTTTGACTGAAGCCTTCACTCTATTCCCCATATACACATATCTTTCATTCTGGTTTATAGTTTGTGTTGTAAGGAATCTCGCATCGTATTAAACAATGAACAGTACAACCAGAGTCAATCCACCAAGTATTATAAGGAACTTCAATTAGATTTGATTCGATACATGTAAAAGCACTAGGCTTACCTTTCTTCTTGAGCCATGCCTTAAATTTCAGTTAATCTTTCTGAAAGTGTCCAGATTTTCCACATAAACGACGCTTATCATTCTTTTGTTCCTTCTTACGTACTTGAGAGGAGAACACATTAACATTATGGTGCCTTTGTTTTCCCTTAACATGTTTCTTTCCTTTCTTTCCAGCTCCTTGATGATTGACAAAGTTGATGGAGCGGGTTCCTTGATTCTTGAGCCTTACTTCCTCCTGAACCAACATTCCGTGCAATTCATGCACGTTCCATTTGTCTTTCATGGTATTGTAGTTCATTTGGAAAGGGCCGTACTTAGACAATAATGAGTTGATGATGAATTGTACAAGGAAATTTTTTTCCACTTCCATTCCCAAGGACTTAAGTCTTGCTGCTACATTTGTCATTTCAATGACATGCTTATGCATGGTACGTGAACCATCAAACTTCATGGTGGTCAAAGTACCCATTAGTGTCCCAACAATAGAATTATCAGCAGTTTGAGAGGATTCTTCCACTAGTTTCAAATTTTTTTTTGCATTTTCAATTTTGGGAAGAGTAGTCTTAATGTTGCCCGCAATATTCATACGCATAAACATTCTGGCTAATATGTTAGATTGATCCCAGTGCTTATAATATGACCTTTCTTCAATATTGCTAGTTTCAGTAATAACAGTTGGCTTCTCAGTGTAAAGTGCTACATCAAGATCTAAAACTCTAAGAAGGAATTTGATCCATTCGCACCAATTTGAGAAGTTAAGACCGTTACAGGTTGTAACAGAGGCAGAGTGCGAATGAAGAGCAAATGCTGCAAATATAATATTCTCATTTGTTAATACTTTGAGTTTTGGATTTTAAACATACTATCAAATTAAGAAATGGTTTATAAATTCTTAAGTGTATATTGATGTCCTCCTTTGGGCGAAACATCAAGATACAACTTTAGACATAATGATGCTTAAATGTGAATTTAACGTATTTCAATAATTTTTAATGTGTCAATCAATAATATTTATTATCTTTGGATAAATAAATAAAACGAACGACACATATAAATTATATCCTTAATGTTCAATGGTTATAAAAATAAATCAACCTTTGGGTGATCCATAAATATCTTATAACCAAAAACTTCAATATATCCATAAAGGTTATATCGGTTACAAGCATTAAACTAATGTACAATTGAATATACGTTTACTCATTATTATTTTGAATTAATTCTTCAAAGATTAGATCACTTTGATGATTAACTAATCTCATATACATAATTCCAAAATAAAATACATCATAATAGTGAATAGTTATTTCCCTTAATACTAAACACCTTTATATGGCAAAATTAGTACAATAATAAGGGATAATAACATTATGCATATGTTAATCATTATATATACAGTGATGCTATAAAGCAAAACAGATTATGGATCAACACGCCACTATTTAATTCACATGAGTTCTTTTGAAGGTCATTACTAAAAAAATGTTTTCTTAATTTAAAAGAAAAGAACAAGTGTTCTAATACAAATTCAAGTTTTCAGTGAGTGAAACTCAACTACTGAAAACATAATAATTTGAATCTGGACTAGCCATACAATTAATTCAATACCCATTATTGTTTTCAAACAAAGAAAACATTAGTTCTATGAAAAATCATTAGTTCTTAAACCTGGCTCTGATACCACATGTTAGGATTTAAGGGATTGCGAAAACATAAACAATCTAAACATTCATAAATCTTATAAATTATTCATGATTGTAGAACTATATGATTTTCACATAAATCTATTACTATAATAAATCAGTTAAGAATACATACCCGAATCAGGCATAGTGTTTTTCGAGAATCTTGACTTGAATTGAGTGGAAGTCTTTTTCTTTGTTGTTCTTGAGAAGTCGTTTCTCTCTCTTGCCTTACATTTTATGAATAGCTTTGATGGATAAGACTATTACTTTATGGCAGAGAAACGACCCTTTAAATAAGAGAGTTTTTAACATTATTCCACTTTCCATCATGGTGAGTAGTGGAGGTAATGTGTAGTTTTAAAACTACCAAGTAACTCCCCACTTAATGGATAGTTGGAAGACTTAATGAGTAGTTGGAAGTTACTAAGTAACTTCCCCACTTTTCCACACATATAAGTAATTTCCCCACTTCTCTACTTCTCCACACATATTTAGGATTTAACTTATATTAATTATTAAACCAGAATATAATTAGTGGGCCATAGAAATTTATAGGCTGAAGATTTTGTGATAGACGGTTTGTTTAGTGATTTTACTGGTAGATTATTGAGTTTGGATGATAATCCTTTTGGTGATTACTGAGTTTCAGAGCATCAATTGTTTACTACAACTTGTGAGGGATCAACAACCAAAACAAGGAGGTCAATCAATGATTAAAGAGGGAACGACACAATTGCAACTTACAGAGGACATGACTCTAGATAGGAAGATATATATAGAGATAGGAGATTAGAGTAGAAGGTGAATTAGCAGGATTGCTCTTAATTACTCATATATTATCTTGTTGTACGATTTGATTTATTATCTATTTTTTTCCTTTTGCTTCAATTATAATATTATACATTATTATTATTATTATTATTAT